CCAATTCTACATAGCAACATCCCTGCTTACAAAATTTATGGTGCATATATGTTTTAGTTGATTCGATATTCAAGGGTATGTTCTAAATAACAAGATTTAGTGTGCAAGATATCGACAAGAGCCGACAGATCATTTCACGGCATAGAGTTTCGCGAGATACAGGTCGATGAAGATTATGGGGAACTTTTACGGTTGTCTGAATTATCTCATTGGGAACTATTCTGTTCCCTTGTGCAATGTAAAGTTGGAAGTATTTGATGCTTGTTTGTATGCATGGTGGTTCCATTGTTGTTACCTTTGTTCTTATATGGGAACGTGACATTGTTTACTTTGATTGACCAATATTGGCTGGTGTCATTGATTAAGCAGAAGACGCTTTCCCTCAGGAATACCTGGTCCTATTCCCTCTGTTCATAATTTGCCAACGTTTCATCGACATCGAGATTGAATAAAGGTTCTGTTGCCGTTGTCGGTATTTCATCTTTTTCTAATTATTGAATCATTTTTATTCATCTTGGTTTTTGTTTTGTTTGGTATTTTTTTGTTTTTTGTTTTTGTTTTGGTTTGTGTGTATTGGCCATTTAATCGTTTGATGTTACACTACTTACAGTTAACGATGTAATAACGTAATATCGTGAGCATAGTAACCATGTATTTACATACAAATAAACTGGGGATTTACATTAGATGTAAACAAAATATCACAGATTTGATGTTATACACCGTCGTGAACAACAACCATATGGTAAAATAGTAATTTTACCTTACTCTCTCGTGACACAAAACAGTTAATTACTTGGACAACACCTTCCTCGATGGCGGATGCAAATGGAATGTCTCATGGCAACATCGTTCAAGTGTTGAAGTAAATACCTCGATATTTCCCAGGAGCTCAATGCAAGATTTGCCAATTATTCAATCAATCCGACGTGTAGTTGTGCCGCAAAGACTAAAACAAATGGTCAGTTGATGATAAAATACCTCATCATACACTGAGGAAACATAACAGTGTTCCGGTTAAACATTACAGATAAGTCGAATGTTCTCTGATGCCTCACAGATTCCGCTGTACTTTCGTGATGCCGGTGTGCCTCTGTGATTCCGCTGTACTTTTGTGATGCCGGTGTGTCTCTGTGATTCTGTTGTACTTTTGTGATGCCGGTGTGTCTCTGTGATTCTGTTCTGCTTTTGTGATGCCAGTGTGTCTCTGTGATTCCGTTCTGCTTTTGTGATGCCGATGTGTCTCTGTGATTCCGTTGTACTTTTGTGATGCTATGTGTCTCTGTGATTCCGTTGTACTTTTGTGATGCCTATGTGTCTCTGTGATTCCGTTGTACTTTTGTGACGCCAGTGTGTCTCTGTGATTCTGTTCTGCTTTTGTGATGCCAGTGTGTCTCTGTGATTCCGTTGTACTTTTGTGATTCCAGTGTGTCTCTGTGATTGCGTTGTACTTTTGTGATGCCTATGTGTCTCTGTGATTCTGTTGTACTTTTGTGATGCCGGTGTGTCTCTGTGATTCCGTTGTACTTTTGTGACGCCAGTGTGTCTCTGTGATTCTGTTCTGCTTTTGTGATGCCAGTGTGTCTATGTGACTCCGTTGTACTTTTGTGATGCCAGTGTGTCTCTGTGATTCTGTTGTACTTTTGTGATGCCTATGTGTCTCTGTGATTCCGTTGTACTTTTGTGATGCCATTGTGTCTCTGTGATTCCATTTTATCGATGATTCTGTTGTACCATTACCATCCCTTTGTACCTCATTGATTATGCTTTACTTCTGTGTTTCTGTTGTATCTCTGTGATTCTGTTGTATCTCTGTGTTTCTGTTGTATCTCTGTGATTTTGCTGTATCGCTGTATATCTCTGTAATTATGTTGTATCGCAGTGTTTCTGTGGTATCTCTGTGTTTCTGCTGTATCTCTGTGATTCTGTGGTATCTCTGTGATTCTGTTGTATCTCTGTGATTTTGTTGTATCTTTGTGTTTCTGCTGTATCTCTGTGATTCTGTTGTATCTCTGTGATTCTATGGTATCTCTGTCATTCTGTTGTATATCTGTGATTTTGTTGTATCTCTGTGATACTGTTGTATATCTGTGATTCTGTTGTATCTCTGTGATTCTGCTGTATCCTTGTGTTTCTGTTGTATATCTGTAATTATGTTGTATCTCTGTGATTCTGCTGTATCCTTGTGTTTCTGTTGTATATCTGTGATTCTGTTGTATCTCTGTGATTCTGCTGTATCCTTGTGTTTCTGTTGTATCTCTGTGATTCAGCTGTGCCGCTGTGTTTCTGTTGTATCGTTGAGATTCTGTAGTATCCATATCACTCTTTTGTCCTCTGTTTTTTTTTGCTATAGCTATGTTATTCTTTTTGAACTCTGATTCTGTTTGTCCTTTTTTCACATTACGTGCTTGAGTCTGAGACATAATTAATCGATATTATTAGCGTGTTATGAGCTTTTTGTCAATTAACAAAGAGTTAGATGAGCGTGATATTTATATTTTAGTTAAGAAATGTTATACAGTAGCAATCAGAATATGACAAATCATCTCAGTTCTCTATTGTCATATAACAGAGGAAGTTAATCAGTCAGAATTAAATCACAATACTAATGAACATAATTAATGAGTCAGTAAATATTTACACTCTCGAGCTCGAACGAAAATCAATGCTCCACGATTACGATGAGTTATAACCGTTGTTGATATATATCCATGCCTTAATTAGTCCCCACGGAACGACGCAAGCCAAGAGAGATGGTGTTTGTACAGCGTGTAGACAGCGAAGCAAAATGTCGAAGAGAAACTCTCTAAGTTCTCATTGAAAACTTTTATTTGCTCTTTTCAGTGTATAGATATACTACATAAGGTCGAACAATATGGTGCGTTAAACCCATTTCAACAAACCTTACCGAAAAAACCTCAAGTAAAGTGAGTTTGTCTAACAGCCTGATTGCAGCGTTTGAATCGGTCTCCATCGCTCGTTGTCGAGCAGTCAAAATCTACTATCGTCAAAAACCAATTGGCTCGTTCACAAAGTATACCTCTCATTCCGACCAATAAACTGGCCAAACCAAGGACGTGTTTTATATCCGTGCCATGTTATGAGATGGGTTTAGAATATATATGACTAAACTAGTGTTATGTTATATATTTTCTGTATGCTATTTTTAATCAAAAATCATAACTCTACACTGTTTTAATTCTTGTGTCATATCATCACCTCAACTAGACTGTACCCTCTTGTCCCTGTTATCAATTAAACTTGTCTCTGTATTCAACTGTTACTGTTTTATCCAAACTGATATCTATATTCTCCTGTCTCTCTATTACCCAAACTAATATCTATATTCTCCTGTCTCTGTATTACCCAAACTAATATCTATATTCTCCTGTCTCTGTATTACCCAAACTAATCTCTATATTCTCCTGTCTCTCTATTACCCAAACTAATCTCTATATTCTCCTGTCTTTCTATTACCCAAACTAATCTCTATATTCTCCTGTCTCTCTATTACCCAAACTAATCTCTATATTCTCCTGTCTCTCTATTACCCAAACTAATATTTATATTCTCCTGTCTCTCTATTACCCAAACTAATCTCTATATTCTCCTGTCTCTCTATTACCCAAACTAATCTCTATATTCTCCTGTCTCTCTATTACCCAAACTAATCTCTATATTCTCCTGTCTCTCTATTACCCAAACTAATATTTATATTCTCCTGTCTCTGTATTACCCAAACTAATCTCTATATTCTCCTGTCACTTCATCATCCAAACTACTACCCCAACAAGTCTATCTCTGTATTATGGTTTCATTCTATCACTTAAACTAGTGTTTGTATTCTCTGTCACACTAATTGTCCAATCTAGTCTCTGTAGTATGATGCCATTCTTTTACCCAAACTAGTGTTTGTATTCTCTGTCACATTCGTTGCCCAAACTAGTCTCTGTAGTATGATGTCATTCTATCACCCAAATCTGTCTATGTATCCTTGTATAACTCTATTAACCAAACTTGTCTCTGTATTTTCATGCGATGTACACTCATGTCACACCTTTAACCGAACTAATGTTCGTGTCTACTCCTGTCATACAAGCGACCTGGTCCTGTCTGTTAGCGTTGTCTTTGCTCCGTACACAGTAGCTCAATAGCGCGATGCTGAGGCGTCCAGTGGCATACATTCATAAGTCCGTCAGCGAGGTTTTAACTCTCCGAGTATAAATGCTTGGTACGCAGGATATAGCAGTGAGCGCGTGTCCACTAACAGCGATCATGCTTGATGCTCTCGTTTACTCAACCAATACCGACGGCACAGTTTACTGACAATTTATTGAAGATATTGACTAAATATGATAAATCTTACCCAATAACACTGGTCAATGGTCATATCTTACCTAAAGCCGGTACCTTCTTGACTGCCAGCTAGCGAGTCGGTAATGACAACATGTAAGGAGGTGTCCCCGTGAGTTTGTGTCGCGTCTAATGACCTAGCGGAGGAGGCAGATCAGCGTAAAAAGTGGGGTGTTAGTAGCGAGTGTGACACATGTCACCGAGTACAACGACATATCGGGAAACCTTAATTTACATTGCTGTCGTGTTCAGAAAGGATACAGCGTATTGTCTGATTTACTTGAGTAGGACAGCTTTATTGAGAAGAATTCTTAATCATGTCGCAGTTTTTTCAGTGAAAATGAAAAGTGTTTATCACTAATTGTGTGTTCATGTGCCAAATATAGAAAGCAATGGAATGCATCTTCGATTAGGTTTCCACCACTTGTTAGATTGAGTTATAACACGCAAGGGTGTGGATTTCTCATTATCATTTAATCTTTATCGCTGGATTTTAAGTCACGATTGAAAAGGTGTACAAGCTGGAGAGCTATTCCTTTGAGGACATTTGTGTAGATTTCGAGGATGACAATGAAGTCGACCGTCGGAAAGGATGCGGCAAAACCAATTCTAACGGACGGATAAGATGCTCAGGGTTATTCTGCAGCATGGACGTGTTTTCAATGATCAAACAGACCATCACATCGGATGACTCCAACCCAATCACGAAATATTTCGAAATTGGGCGTCAAGTTGGTAGCTACGGGCCAGAAATGGTCTGGAAAATTTATGATGCCGTTCGAAAGGAGGACAAAAAGGTAAGATGGATTTATGTCTGTATATAAGCAAGACATGGAGATTGAGCAGTCCATGATTTTCAGTTGCTCGTCACCTTTAGTTTCTGTTCACAACCCTGATTTATACACATGTCTCTCGTGAACAGAATACTTCCTGTAGGTGAAAATCGATTTCAATGTATCGTCACCTGGAACAGGTATAGAATTAATGACTACCTGTTATAGGTGAGGAAATTAACCTCCGGTAAGGCATCATCACGCAAACACATAAACAGGATATTTCAGCTTGACACACGTGTTGATATGAGAGTATAAATAAATGAAATAACATAGAGCATAGGAATTCATATCTATTCATTGACGAAGTTAAAAATACTATTTCTGTGCTTATTCAGTTGTTCTTTTTAAAAACAAAATTGAAAATACAGTATAAATCCAAAGCAAGATCAGAAACATTGTTTTGATATTTTCAGACTGGTCCTTTTGTAAATAAAGATATCGCGATACACATTTAGATACTGTTTTCCATTAATATGAGTTACTTACTAATCGAACAACGTGATAGTAACGTACAGCTCTTCAATTGGAGCTTGCATGATGCTTGTCACAACATCGTGTTGTACGGCCTACTGACAGTGGGAGCTTGTACGATGCTTGTTACAACATCGTTTTGTACAGCCTTCTGAAAATGTGAGCTTGTACGATGCTTGTCACAACATCGTTTTGTTCAGCCTTCTGAAAATTGGAGCTTGTGCGATTCTTGTCACAATATCGTTTTGTACAGCCTTCTGAAAATGGGAACTTGTACGATGCTTGTCACAACATCGTTTTGTATAGCCTTCTGAAAATGGGAGCTTGTACGATGCTTGTCACAACATCGTTTTGTACAGCCTTCTGACAATTGGAGCTTGTACGATTCTTGTCACAATATCGTTTTGTACAGCCTTCTGAAAATGAGAGCTTGTTCCATTCTTGTCACAATATCGTTTTGTAGAGCCCTCTGACAATTGGAAACTGTACCATGCTTTTCGCGTAAAAATGTTGTACAGCCACCTTGTGATAGTAGTTTGTTCTGTACTTGCCATAGAATTGTCCTCTACAGCCCGCTGGCAATAGAATCATTTTCTGTATTTATCACAGGTATTTCACAACTTTTCCGCAAAGGGAGGTTGTTTCTTATAACATATAAACTTTATTTATTTTACAACAATTGCGAAACAAACTATAAGCTTCTATTAGTCACTCGTGTTCGCCTGTGTGGGGTCGCGCGGGGAATCCTACTGTGGGAGGAATCCGATACCCGTACCGAGAATCGAACCCCGTACGGCTAAGTGAATGACGAGTGTTTAACCACTATGTCACCCAAAGAGATTGTTCCTTAATTGTCAAAGTATTGTATTGTGCAACCTCTCTCACACAGAACAGTTGTATGTATCGACCATGAGAGTATGATACATGTCCAATACTCATCAGGGAAAACTATTGTGTGGGAACCGATTTGAGAAGGCAGTCTTTTTATTTCACATTTTGTTAATTCAAATTAAGCTTCATATCACGTGTCATCACCTTTAGTCCAATCAGAAATTAAACTCAGCAGAATCTGTTCGCCGTTTTATGTTTCCGTATTTCATCTTTGAACGTATATCATCTAGTTAGAAAGACTGTTGGAAGCTATATGTTTAAGTTACGTCTAGATGATAAAATAGTGATATTCCTCCACAGTACGTTCAACCCAGGTAAACAAGATGAACCTATCAATACCTCCTGTGATACCGTAACACACTGTACTAGCGACCCGTTACAGGTTACATCATACTCAATTCTCCTAAATATGGATGCCTACGGTCATGACAGAGAGTGACACTATGATTATATTTTATAATCTTAAAATTTGAGGTAATTTACTTTTTACGACGGTACCAACAGCATAGCTGCTGTAAATATTGAACAATACCGTCGATATATTGACTGTTAATATTCCCTTGCCACTTCAAGGCAGACATTATTGTGCACTAACATATAACCTCGGCCTTAGACGGGTCAGTTCTTGATATCACACCCCAACACCCCAGAATACTATAATACTGATATAAATTTTAAAACAATATCAGCTTAATTTTCAAGAAAAAAACATAGGTTGTAATCCCTAAACATGTCGGTGACTGCTGTATGTTCATTTGTCGGACATTATGTAGAAGAAATCGCCTCGATATACAGGTAACCGACCACTAAACAATCACACAGACTACTTAATATGAAGTGATAAAAACCTCCCATTTTCACCATTATATGTCAGTATTGTGACGTAATTGTATACACATTAATGGTCACCGGTGATGACAATGGTAATTATCTAGGATTCCAGGTAAAACATTATTAATTGACTGTGTTTATAATATCTGTATCACCTTTACGGCCAAACCAATGTAATAGCATTTACCGCCAATATTACAAGAGGTCGGCCAATATGAAAACAAATTTAATGTTCGGAAAAAAACCCCGTGTTTCCGTCGCGTGACTTTTATTTTGTATTCAAAAGTAGAGTATATCAGTTCATCTATGAAAAGTCACATCTTAAAAATGACGTTTGTCAAAGCCGATGTTTATGATATTGTTGAATGAGAATCTTGCGGTGAATGAAAAGTTTGGACAACGGTATTAAACGCTTCTGTCATGTCAACGACCAGACAGAAGCATTACCGTCCTCGACAAAGAAAATATCTTCCGATGGTACGGCGAGCGCCCGATATAAAGGCTCTCCTCCTGCTCTTCAGTATTCATTAAACATGGCGATCGAGTGACATCGGGGCTTATGTGATCCCGACATCAGAAATGAGAAATCTCATGTGTTGAATTGACGGCAGATCGGTTCTATTTCGTCCCGGTGAATAGCTCTGTATTTTATTGGACAGAGCGTGACATAAACTGCCATGAAGAGTACCTTTTATATCTGTCGGATTTGTTAGTAATGACCAAGATGCTAGCGACATCCGCCTGATTACAGTATAATGAAGTATCTTTTACCACATCCTCCCAGTAGTACAGGGTAATTTACTAGTTACTTATAACAGTACAAATATCAGTGCAGTGTAACAAGTACACAATATCAGTAAAAAATCGGAAAATTTGTTCATATTAATGTTTTTGACAGTATAAATATCGAAATCAGTTTTTTTCTTATTGTACACACTATACTAGATATGTGTATGTATGTGTTCCTGTCAGTTTATGTTTCAAATGAAAGCTTTGTAAAGTCTTGGACTGATTTGTAAAAAAATCACACCATCGATTTCATGTATCTTAGTCTACAACACACAGAGGTGATGCATTATAGTTGTATTATCGGAAAGTCAAAAAAGGGAATCGTATATCTTGACGTCATTTCGTCAAAAATGCCACGTGTTGAGATGACGTCAATATTCTGTCCATAAAGCCAGTATTGACGATGATAGGGAAGTGGGCACTATCCCTATGTCCCTCTAGCCGATGTTCATGGGCGGGGCTCACAGATTCTATCAACTATAAAAGGATTGTTCATATGCGTTTTTCATTTTTAAACGTCAATTGCCAACAGTAGGGCATGTCATTACTGCAAGTAATGTAACTATGTCACAATCGTAGTATCTTTTTCTACACATGTTATAATAGTACTTAAGGATACTGTACGATCGCGCGATGTCTTCAACTCATTGTTACAATCTACTTGGCATTAAATGAGAATAAAATGAGGATGAAAAATAATCAATCCCTTCTGCATGATGTAGACATTTGAATCTTATGCATCGGGAGAGATGAGTTTTTTTCTAACGTTGAGCTGGAGACTTTGCTAAGTACTCAACTTCTAAAACATACGTTTCAACTCAAGATTTTATAAAATCGAACATTTTCTCAAGGCACAACATGAAACTTGATTTTAAAATTTAAAGTTATAATTTGAAAAAAAAATTACGAAATATTAATTACTGTATGAATTAAGGAGCTTCCTCTTTCTCTTGTTTTAAGTAATATGTTACATTGTGTTATGTATTGTGTCCCGAGAAAAGTAGAACAAATACAGATATTGTGAACCCACAACAAAGGAACCTTACAGATACAGAATTAAAGCCAATTACAGATACACTTTACTGGGTTTGTTCTCAGACATGGAATAAAACGATGCAACCCTATCATACACAGTGGATTTGTAATTCATAATGATTTCCTAACCGCTATGGTTGAAGATAACATAGAAAATTTTTGCCGCATTTCCTGATGCTGGTCAGATGCAGAAATGATTTATGTTTTTGATGGAAAATGTGTGTACTTTCGGTAGAAAATTACCATACGTGCATCGAAACATGATGAATAAAGAGAGAAGTCATTTACTTCTTTAATGTGATTGTCAGTCAAATAACTGTCCGTACACAGTAACGGATGCAAATATAGCACAATTGTGAACGCCGCCATTAAAGTTACAAGTAATGATGGGGACCGCCATTAAAGTGAAGTCACGCGCAGTGTCCTTAAATAACATTACATATTCACGTTATGTCTCAGCTGTTTCAGCAGACACGTAAACTCATTTTAATGAACTGCTAATTATTGTAAAGCTTTCAAACGCTACTCTATTAAGTGTCACGGTAGGGAACATACAAATGCACCCTAAAAACTAGCATGGGCAATATGTTGACTAACGCATTAATTCAAATAAAGACACTTTGCGACATTTGCAGAACAACCTTTCAATCTACTACATGTCTTGTAATTAGAGAGAGTGACACAGACAGACAGACAGACAGACAGACAGACAGAGATAGAGAGAGGAGGTCGGGGGGGGGGGGGGGGTTACATTATAATCGGCGTTTTGTATGGAATGTTCTATACCAAAATTTCATCGCAGTATCACAAATATGTTAGCAAGATTACACACCCTCTGGACATTATCCAGTAGCATTCACCGCCTAGATCCGGAAACCATGTTTATTGAGCGAACTGGTAATGCTTAGGAGAACTAGCCCTATCCTAATGGCTATGTGGCGCCA